ACAAAAATATAAGCACAAGCATGCCTAAATGTGATAAAAATGTAAGAAGGATCTGGAAATTTAAATGGAAATTTAAAAATATCTTGAGACAAATAAAGATGATAACAACACATTCCCAAATGTACATGATGCAGTGAAAGCAGTCCAAATCATTAAACTTTGTTTTATTTTTTTGTTTGTTTGTTTGTTTTTAGATGGAGTCTTACTCTGTTGCCCAGGCTGGGTGCAATGGCACAATGTCAGCTCACTGCAACCTCTGCCTCTCAGGTTAGAGTGATCTCCTGCCTCAGCCTCCTGAATAGCTGGGATGACAGGCGCCTGCCACCATGCCCAGCTAATTTTTGTATTTTTAGTAGAGATGGGATTTTACCATGTTGGTAAGGCTGGTCTCGAACTCCTGAGCTCAGGCAACCCATCCACCTCGATCTTCCAAAGTGCTAGGATTACAATCATGAGCCCCTGCACTCAGCCAAGGAAACTTACAGCTTTAAAACCTTACATTAAAAAAGAAGGAAATTCCCAAGTCAATAAGCTAGCATTACACCTTATGGAACTAAAAAAAGAACAAACTAAACCCAAAGCTAGCAGAGAGCAGGGAATAATAAATACTAAAGGAAGATAATGAAATGAAGAATAGGAAAATGTATCATGTATCAAAATATCACATGGTACCCCATAAATATGTACAATTGTTATGTGTTAAAAAAAGGAAAATAATTGTACATGTTTGGTAAAAAATAGAACATGAACAAATGAATAGTTTTCAAAGTTTACTGAAAATATTTATGTTCTATAACATATATGGTGGTACAATGGCAACATTGGAATATGGACTACAGGTTAGGTAAGTATCTATAATAAATTTCCAAGATTTGATAACTGTACTTGGACTATGTAAAAGAATGTCCTTGTTTTCAGGAAAGAATTACTGAGATATTTGGTGGTAAAAGGACATGATATATATATACTTTACTCTCACACCGTTCAGAAAAAGGAATATAAAGAGGGAAAAATGAGAGAATAGCAATGCAAAGATGACAAATTCATAGAGAAAAGTAACATTGGGGTATGATAAACATATTCACTACTTGATTGTGATTTTTGTTTTATTAGTGTGTGCATATATGATACTTCAATCATACTTTAAATATATATGATTTAATATATGTGAGTTATCCTTTAATCAAGAAATCAAAAATTTTAAATAAAAGGCATTCAAATTGGAAAGAAAGAAGTAATATTATTTGTGTTTGCAGATGACACATTATACATACAAAAGTTTAAAGATTACACACATAGATGTACTCACACCGATAGAAGCAATAAAAAAATTTCAGCAAAGTTGCATGCAAACAAAATGCACATGCAAAAACAAGTGGAAATTTCTGTACAGTAGCAATGAAATACCTGAAAAACTTAGGAAAATAATCTTCTTTATAATAGTATTACAACAAATAAAATACTCAAGAACAAACAAAGAAGGAGGAAAAAGAATTGCACATAAAACTACCAAATATTCCTTTAAAAAAGTTAAAGAAGATACAAATAAATGAAAAGACACCTGGTGTTCATGGATTGGAACACTTAATGTTGTTACAATTGCTTTTCAGCACTTAGTTATAAATTTTTTCCCAGGGCCAATGTCCAACATGGTGTTTTCTAGGTCTTCTTCTAGAATTCTCATAGCTTGAGGTCTTTCCAAAATTAAATCTGTTAAAAAAAAAAAAAAAAAATCCCGAGTACTCTGGCTCATGCCTGTGATCCCAGGACTTTGGGAGGCCAAGATGAGTGGATCACCTGAGGTCAGGAGTTTGAGACCAGCGTGGCCAACATACTGAAACCCCATCTCTACTACAAATGTAAAAATTAGCCGGGGATGGTGGCACGTGCCTTTAATCTAGCTACTCAGGAGGCTGTGGCAGGAGAATCACTTGAATCTGGGAGGTGGAGGTTGCAGTAGGCCAAGATCGTGCCACTACACTCCAGCCTGGGCGACAGAGTAAGACTCGGTCTCAAAAAAGAAAAACAAAACTTACCAACCAAAAAAAGGCCCAGAACAGACAGCTTCACAGCCAAATTCAAAGATAAACTGGTACCAATTCTAGTAAAAATATTTCCCAAAAAAAAAAAAAAATGAGAGAAGGGACTCCTCCCTAATTCATTCTTTAAGCCAACATCACCCTAATACCAAAACCTGGTAAAGACAATGAAAAATACAAACACCAGGCCAATATCCCTGAAGAACATAGGTGCAAAAATCCTCAAGAAAATACTAGCAAATCGAATTCAAAAGCTTATCAAAAAACCAATTCAGCATGATCAAGTAAGCTTTACCCCTGGGATGTAAAGTTGGTTCAACATACAGAAATTAATAAATGTGATCATCACGTAAATAGAATTAAAAGGAAAACCATATAATAGCCTCAATAGACATGGAAAAAGTTTTCAATAGAATCCACCAACCCTTCATGATAAAAAAATCTCAAGAAACTAGGCATCAAAGGAACATACCTCAAAATAATAAGAGCCATCTATGACAAACTGACAGCTAACATCAAACTGAATGGGCAAAAACTGTAAGCATTCCCCTTGAGAACTAGGGCAAGACATGGATGTCCACTCTCACCACTCCTATTCAACATAGTACTAGAACTGCTAGCTAGAGCAATCAGGTAAGAGAAAGAAATAAATGGCATAGGAAAGGAAGAAGTCAAACTACCTTACTTAGTGAAAGATATAATCCTAGAAAACCCTAAAGACTCCACCAAAAGGCTCCTTGAATTGATAAACAACTTCACTAATGTTTCAGGATACAAATCAATGTATAAAAATCAACAGAATTTCCATACATAAATATTGTTCAAGCTGAGAGTCAAATCAAGAATGTAATCCACTTAGCCACACAAAAATAAAACACCTAGGAATATATTTAATAAATGAAGTGAAAGATACCTGCAAGGAGAACTACAAAACACGGCTGAAAGAAATCACAGATAAACAAATGGAAAAACATTCCATGTTCATGGATTAGAATAATCATATTGTTAAAAATGGTCATACTGTGCAAGGCAATCTACAGATTTGATGCTACTCCTATCAAACTACCAATGTCATTTTCACAAAACTAGAAAAAATTATTCTAAAATCCATATGGAACCAAAAAAGAGTCCAAATAGCTAAAGCAATTCTAAACAAAAAGAAAAAGCCAGAGGCATCACATTACTGGACTTCAAACTATACTATACGATGACAGTAACCAAAAACAGACACATAGACCAATGAAACAGAATAGAAAACTCATAAATAAGCCACACACCTACATCCTTCTGATCTCCTGCAAAGGCGACAAAAATAAGCAATGGGGAAAAGACTCCCTATTCAATAAATGATGCTGGGATAGCTGCGTAGCCATATGCAGAAGAATGAAACTGGAGCCCTACATTTTACCACATACAAAAATTAACTCAAGATGGATTAAAGATTTAAATGGGAGTAAATCTTTAGTGTTCTCAGCATGCATGCAAAAACAAAAATGTTAACTATATCAGGTGGAGAATGTGTTAATTAGCTGTGGATTGTGTAATGTGGAGAAATCATTACATAAGGTATACTTATACCTACACACTCTGTTTTACACTTTAAATAATATACAATTTTGTCAATCATATCTCAATAAAGAAATATTTAAAGGTTTTACTCAAATTCAGCTATTCTTTGAAAATGTTGCTCAGAAAACATTTGAAAAATATGTGTGGCAATGTCAGCCCACACTCTCCTCTAGGTGTCATCCTATTTCCTAACACCACAAATGAGCTTCCCAAGATGATCTTCTATACACAGTATACCTAATGCCACTTCTTGTGCTTCTTCTTTAAACTATTCCCATCTGGTCTCTGTCCTATACATTTTGCAAAACCAGATCATCCAAAGATCAATGGTGGAGTATATTTTCAGCTCCACTAGGACAGGTCAGCCCCCATCTTCCCTGAAAGCACTACCGTTCCCTTCATTAGTCTCTCCCTCATTCTCCCTTTTTTCTTCTTCTAACTGCACCGGCCACTCAAGCTCAGTGTCTTTTGCAGACTCTCCTTCTCTTCTATAACTTTAAATATTAACAGTGTACAGAACATAGATTAGTCCTCATTTCATTTTCTTCTCTTATTTTTAGATGATCATGTCCATTCCTATGACCTGATAGCCAGAAATGCAATAAAGAATCTTAAATTAATACCTATGCCCATGGTATTTGTTGTTCACTCTAGACCCACATTCCCAACTGCCAATAAGACCTCTGCACTTTCATGTCTCCCAGGCACTTTGGGAAGAACATCAAATTTTTTTTCCCTCCTAGCATCATTTACACCTAAAGATTCTCGTGTAAGAACATAATTTTCCTGTACTTCTCTTTCAGGTACTTAATATAACCAAAATAATATAAACATTAATATGGTTTTTATATCTCCTTCCCTGTTAGACTGAGAATTCCAACAGAGCAGAAACTGTTTGCTCTAGTCACCTGTATTTCTTGAAGCAATTTCTACAGTCTGCCACTTACTCAATTCATAAATATAATGTGAATGGAATGAACGAGTAATTAAATTTCACAATCCTTTCTTCAATTTGGCTCAGGTTTTAGAATAAACATTTTCTTTGATAAACATTTAATAAGTCAAAAACTGCAAATTTAATAATATTAAACAGTGAATATATTTTGTAAATTTTAATATAATGTGAAGATGAACATATTATATGTAAAATATCTAAATGTTATAAACACAATATATGCAAAACTATGGAAATAAATAACACCAGGGCAGTCATTTATTAGGGGCCGATGCTACTGGAGCTGAATATTTTGAACTTATACTTGCTTAATATACTGATGAAGTATTTGCTGAATTTAACTCAACCAATTCAGTAACTAAAGCAGAAATGAGTCTATTAAAGCATCCAAGATCACACTTGCAAGTGACATGGCAGATTAGTCCATGAGAATTATTTCATGACTCCATGTTTCCAACCTTACTTCTGAATCTTTCTTGCGAGTTTGTTGATAAAGAGAAGGATCTCATGATTTCCACTCTGACAGCTTCCCAGGCACAGTCACTGTGTTTCTTCTCTTTCAGGTAGAGACGGGTTCCCTGGAAGTACGTCCTCAATGCCAGTGTAGGGCTCCCAACCACCCCAGCAGATTCTCCCTCTCCCATTACATGCACCAAGCAGGTCTCCAGGTGTTCCAGCTGCTGATGAAGTCCAGTGTAGAGTTGGTCCAGGAGAGTCATATTCCAGGCAGCAGAGAAGCGCTCTATGTGGAAGTGGCTGAAGATCCCCTGCAGCATCTCACGGAGGACAGACACGGCCTGGGCCTTCAGCAGCTGGCTGCCATCCACCATCTCCTGGGGAAATCTGAAGTCTCTTCTGTCCTTGAGACACAAAAAAGGGGAGATCCTCCTCACTTGGCCCAGAAACACCAAAATCTTCCTTCCTGTCAGACCATGGTTTGGAGGCAGGTAACATCCCAGAGATCCAAAAGAGCCACAGCTGTACATCACTCAGGCCACCACTAGAGGGTGGAGCTAGGCCACTGGGAAATGAGGGTGCTGCTGGCCTGGTAGAGCTGTGGTCTGAGTGTACCTTTGAACCTAGGTTCTCTGAAGACATTCGCTATGCATGGCTTTTAATAGGAAGCAAATAGTTTTCATTTTCTGCATTCCTTTACACTTACTTCCCTTTTTTATTTTTTTATTCTCAACATGATCTAAGACGATAACATCACTCAATACTATTAATTATGCAATAAAAGTTTAATTTTCCTAGAAAACTTTAGAGGTGTGAATCAAAATGGATATTTATCAGTTACATGAGAAACATCTTTGTTCTAAAAACCTAAGTGTATATATATATATATATATATATATATACACACACACAAACACACACACACACATATATGTAAACATACACACATGCACACATAAACACACAATTTTTTTATATATATAAACATTGCTTTTTCTGTTCTAGGCTCTATTTTTACCTTCCATACTCTGCATAGGAAATGAGTCTCCCTCACCTCTCTGGGTGTATGTGGTTAGGTATATACCAGGCCATCTATGGCATTGAAACTCTTTGGGACTGGGTTTGTTTGCTATTTTATTCACAGCAGAGATTAACGGGTATTGGTCCATGAACTTCTATGAAATTTCTCTTCCTTCCGAAATACATTTATTTAGGTCCATGAGGCTATGCTTCATGGGGGTCACAAAGTCAGGATTAATGCAGACACTGCTCTTTTTTTCACTATTTCTTACTCGTGGTCTAAGTGCACTTCAGGCTGTGTCAATTCCCCCAGGAGGAATTCTGCCTCTTTTCAGGTGCATACAGTTGTGGTGATGTTTTTTCCAACATCACCTCACTCACAAGGTAGTTATCATATCCAGTAATACTTTGTCCTATAGAATAATAAAGTGTCCTGAATCCAAAATCTTCAAAACTTATTCCCTGAGAGCAGGCTTACCATGTCCTGATGGCTTGAGAATTCTGCTCCTGAAGAGTGTCTTGTTTCTTTGCTGCCACAATAGTGCATCTTCTAAGACCCTTGCCCTTGCCCTTGCCCCTGAGTGTTTGTGTGAAGGACCCTAGCCCTCAGTGATGACTTCTTCCTCTCCTGAGCCATGTTCCCAGGTATCAAAAGTTTCAACAGCCCTCCAATGCTCATAGCAAAGGCTTGCTTTGTCTAAAGAGGTAGAGGACTTATGCAACTGCAATCATTTTATATCCCTTAGTCAAGTAATTTTTATTTTGCTAAGTACTATTTTTATTGATGAAGACCTTTACTTAAACCACTGAAAATTTGTTATGCTTGAAGTTTCTGAGGTGGGCACAGGGGATTCAGTAACAATATTTTCTTTTACTACAATCTAATTTACAGAAACTGTGATCTCAAGTTCTTTTATCCAGTCAGTGTGATTCTTATGGGGTCTTTTTCTGTGTCTATCTCACTCTGACAATGCAGGACAGTGAGGCTCGGGCTATTCAGTAAGAAAGAAATAGCCTTCTTTCCTTGTTTGTGATTTGTCATGTTGAAATTTTGTAACTTCTTTTTATGTAGTGGTTTACTAGGTAAGGTATATCTTGCTTCTCCTATATGATGTTCTTACTCATGATGAATTGAAACAAAGAAAAGTAAAAGAAAGGCAAAAGAACCACATTGTTCTTCTATATAATTTTCAAGATTTAAGATTTTTTGTCTCTCATTTCAACTTTCCTAGAAAGCAAACCTCAACAATTGTTTGTGTATTAAAAAGAAAACAAATATAAGCCTGAATATCATGAAAGTAAAAGAAGAAAAGTGACTTTCTGCTGACAAAATAGCAAAATGTATGTTAACAAAATTCGGTGCAGCAAAATTGGGGATTAGGGGCTCTGGCCCAAGGTCATTGTTGAGGTACACAAAGTAAGGGAAACAGCTGCTTCTGCCAGCGCCTCATATAAGAGCAACTCCTGGGTCAATGGACTGTCCTCAGCTGTGCAAGACTAGCCACCTGCCCTTCTTTCATTGAATGCAGATGTTATCAACTCTGAGGTGAGAAAAGAGGAGTTGCACCTACGAAGTCACAATAGAGTGGCAACAAGACTCCAGTTGCTAGAACACCAGTCCTTTCTGGCAGGATTATGAATATTAGCTTTGCCTTAGCACCCTACCTAGTTAATAAGTCCACCCAGGAAATGAAAAAATGGCTTTTAGAAACCTACAAAGAAAAGGAATTTGATATCCCCAAAGATTCTGCTCTTAATTGTTTATCATAATAATGATATTTTTAAAAGATAATACCAAAATTATTGCATTGTAACTATACACCTGCCACTGTTTTAAGATCATTAAAAATGTTGACCCAATACCCTGTTTGGATTACACTAATTTTTATAACTGTTTGGAGAGAAATATAAATCTGGAAGAACAGAACAAAGACCTAAGGTCAAAACCATAGGGCAAGCGAATAATAGTGAGTCTGGAAGAGTCCATTAAAAAATAGAACTGGACATGAGATTCATGAACCAAGGAGAGGCCACAGTAGGAAACAAGAAGAGCAGGAGGGTAAGTTGTCAGGTGATTCTGAATTCTACTTCAAATGCCCATGGGTTGCTGTCTATTGTTTTATAAGGCAGAAGTAGGTGTGGTATGAGTGAATTGAACTGACTGACTTTAAGTTTTAAGTAAAAGTAAAGAGAAGACCATTTAAATGGATGTAAAGGAGATTTTTCTGCCAGTAAAAAAAGTCTAAAAACTAATGAGCAGTTTCTTAAATGAAATATATTCAGATTACTTTAAGAATCTATTAAATGCATACTCCAGGAGGTCTATTTATTTTTGGCCCTTGAGTTTTCTTCTAAGAATAAGCAAAAAGCACCTCATATTTTCCATTCTAAAGATAGCTCAGCCTGGTGGGCTTTTACTTTCTCCTTGGGTCCTCACTAATTCCAAGGGAGACTCTCTTCAGGCCCACTTGCTGTTGTCATTCCCAAGGAAGACAAATCAGTTTCTCACCACCTGGTCAGACTAGACTTTGTGCTGTCTGCTGACAGAACCCTGTGAAGATCCTTTTCTTCTGTTTATCTTTTTATCCAATGGTTAAGTTGTAAGTGTCAAAAAAAAGTCTTTCATATGAACAAGATGGGAAAATATTATGCACTTCACACACTAAAGCAGTGAATGCTTTTAAAAGGCTACTTACCAAAGTGAGTCTTCCTTTGACACAAAAAGCAGCCACATTGCTTAGTAAGGCTATCTTTGGCTACCTAGGATTGTCGATTGTTGGCATCAAAATGGATGCTATTTTCAACCTCCTTGCTTCTATAGTGTTTATGTTTCTCAGGATTTAAAAGTTGTAAAACATTTACCAACCTCAGAAAATAAAATCCTGTCATTGCCAAGATGTTGGCTTACCTACCTGTGTGCACCAACATGTATGACCCACATAGTCACATGGAGCTTTTCCCACTGTCCCCAGACTGCATATTCAGTCAATGTGTGCAAAGACCCCATTCCATGAACAGGCTTTATATGCAAAGGGGTCTTCAAATGTCAAAGGAGCCCGGAAACCACAGAACAAGGCAGATAAATTTAGTTTGTTGGTAAAGGGTGATTTTCTGGGGAGCTTACAGACAGAAACATGCTACATATGTAGCAGCAAGACAAGTAGATCTCAACACTGCAGCCCCCTAGACCCAGGGGTCCTGTTTTGGAAGAAAAGCATGTCTGCTCAGGAAGGAATGCTGAGAGTGTCTCAGCCTATGATTTCTGCAATGTCAAGGCTTCTTTTGGAGGAAAAGTAAGCCTTACAGTAAATAGGTGTTTCTATGTAAAAAGTAAAGCATGAACCAGATATCTTGGAAGCATTCCCAGACTTGGGGTTAATCAGGAGTCACATGGCAGATTAGCATCTAAAAGACTCAACTCTTGTCCCCATAACCCACATACTCTGGCAATAATCCCTGTCAAGGTGTCTTGGTGGCTATCCGGCGAGTTGGGATGGTGGTCTAGTGCCATCAGTATAGGATGTAGCTTGCTTCATGTGAAGTCACAGCAAGTGGAGCTCATTATAACTCCATTATAACTCCTTTAACAGGCACTATTGGAGTTTCCTTTTATAGGACAAGAGATGGGTTATTTGTAGTTGTTTTTGTCTGATTCTTAAAGACTTCATCATCACCAGCTTATTGATTAGCTGTCACAGGCTGCTATATAATAGACTTTTAGCTACTCACATTAATGGCTAATAGTTCTAATTTGTTACTTTTTTAAATTTGACTTTTGTTTTGTTTGGTTTTATGGACCCTAATCTTCAGGAAGACTTCCAAATTCTAAATATGCTGACTCATTGGAGAATGTACCAACTGGAAAGAAAAGAAAGAGAATGAAACTGCCAATGTTTTTTCAATTAACTTCATTAAATGAATTTTGACAAAGATATTTGCTGTCATTAGTTATTATGATCTTCAAATATGCACATTACTAATATCTGTTTTACTTGGAAGGTTCTGCCCTACTTGCTTCTAATTGTACTCAAATATGTGCTGTGTCCCTTCTGTTCAGGTATTGTTTCATTTTGTTTTATTTTTAAAGGAGGCCGCATTATAATCAAAATTTAAGACATATCTTGGATTGCATTGGCTTCATGAAATAATTTTCCCTGTAGAGTGATGACTTGCTAGATCCTAAAGAGAAAACAGCAGTTGGCAGCTGGCACTAGAATAAGTCTTCTCCCTTCCAATACTCTGCAGGCTGCTGTGGTATCAGTGTCTCCCATGCTGGAGACACTGATGTAAGCCATGTCTCTGTGAGAGGACTCTGCTTTAATCTTCATCCACTTTCAGTCTTCTCTCCCTCTCTATGATCAGGTGATTTGAACAGTTGACTCCATCTACCCATTCATGTTGTTCCATCTCTTGAGGACCTGCCACTGTTGCAGTCAATGTTTTAAATGTCTCTATTCTCCTTCCAAGATATCAAACTGCTGTTCTTTTTTTCAACTTCTTCATGTCCACA